TTGGACCTTCTAGCTCGAAAAGGAAAGGTTGCAATTGTGGGAAGTCGCGGTGAAATCAAAATCGATCCGAGGGCCTTCATGATGAAAGAGACTTCCGTATTCGGTGAGAAAATTCTAAACTGAAATCTTTTCGATTTGAGAAGAATACGTTGAGAGAGCATCTCTGAACAAGGGTCAATTGCAGGGTTAGCGCTGGCGAACTCAACACCGGCTGATTGGGAAGAGTCATCGTCACACATCTACGAGCTACTGAGCTCTACTCAATATCGACCCATCATTGAGCGAGTTTATCCGTTGGATGAGATTAGTACAGCTCACAAAGATGTCATGTCTCCTAGAGGAACACGAGGAAAACTTGTAGTATCTATCAATGACAAATTATGATTTCATTCAGTTGTAAACTATTTAACTGGTTGGTCATTTGGATGAATGGAACATTCAATGAAGAAGTCAGTACAGTTCTGTGACTTGTTCCTCTTCAGGCCGATGTCAGACTTTGCGAATCGCGCGATTCGCTACTAGCGATTGAGTGATTCACTGGCCGCGACGCGACCGCAGACGCTAGCGAATCGCGCGATTCGCAAAGTCTGACATCGGCCTCACACAGACATTGGTGAAGTAATTGATTGGCTCTAATTACTCATACACAGCGCTTTGACAGCGATTCGCAGAGTTTTTTTTTAAGAGTTTTGCTAGTGAATTCGGGTTTAGAATATGGTGTTTTTTGGAGGCGCAAGTTTCCTTAATTCTCTATTTCACAACATAGTTTAGTGCTGACGAGTTTTCCTTCCGGTGAGACCCAGGAGTATTTAGAAACAGTACGATACCTCAGCAGCCTTCAAAAGTCCCTCCTTTGCGAGACCCAAATGCGGCGGCTAATGATTGTGGCAGTTTTCTCGAAATGATATTTCACTGAACGTAGTATCTTCTTACTTGAAGGTATAACTGGTATACATGGACTCGTTTATTTTATGAGTGCTGCAGAGGTTTTAGGACCAATAAATTCTAGAGTTAGTCCAACCATTCATGCTGACAGAGGTTTTTAATACAATAAATTAGAGTTTAGTCCAACATTCAGAAATGTACTGCGACAATAAGTAGTATACAGGGGGGGGCCAAAAAAAAAAGACATTTTGCCTCCACTTCCAGATGGATTTAAGCACATTTTACTCAACTCAGACCGAACGGTTCCAACTTATTATTAAAGAGTGCATTCCATTCTATAAGAAAATCTTCATAGTGGCCACGTACGTGGACGGCATCAGAAGAATTAGCCCTGGAAACATGGTGCACTGGTCGATCTCAATGGGGTCTTCGAAGGATCGTGTACCATAACGACCCTTACTGGAAAGCTAGTTCCGAGGGGATTTGCACAGTGGTAGCTAATGCCTCTAGAAAACTATCCAACATTAAATCGATTCACGAAATTGCGTAAGAGCTTCAGGCTGAAGCTCTTACGGTAGACCTCCTTGAGCCTGACGACGGTGACAGATGACGTCATATTCTGAAGACGGTGAGGGCAGTGAAGGAGGGCCTGCGTTCACTTATAGAGGGACACTTAGGGAATACTCTGCTGAGGAACTCCCGTCAACGACAGCAATCTCTGCGAAGAAAAAAAGCCGAAGTCCGACATAGGCAAAATGTCTTTTTTTGCCCCCCCCCCCCCCCTGTATATTCGGTAGTTGGGGACTACTAGAATTTTTCCTCGTATACACTCACGAGGGAGGTCGTTCAGGGTGTGCCAAGCTTTTTTCAAAACGGTCTTTTGCATGATATAGGGGCACAGGCGGGAACCACAGAACCATGGTTAATATTTCCTTGAACTCTAAATAATGGCTTTCTGAATACCAGAAAAGGGGTCCCTAGTTCGATTCCTCGTGGTGACAAGTTTTTGCATTTCGTGTTGACGTTTCCAAATTCGCGCAAAATGGAGTTAGCATGAATAATTAGTACCAAATTCATGATTAGGAACGTCAGTAACCCTTACAAATAGACTTTGATTGAAAACTGGGTGAAAAAGGCCCCATAACAAACAAACAGAGGTGTGACTAGGGACCCCCTTTGCTGGTATTCTGAGGGCCGTTCAGGAAAAAATTAACCATGGTTCTGATCTGTGGTTCCCGCATGTGTCTCTATATCATGCAAAAGACTGTTTTGAAAAAGCCTGGCACTCTAAGAAAGACCTTCCTTTTCTCAGAAGCACAGACGATTAGAGCTAACGCCGCCTGCGTTTCGGCTTCAAATCCCAAGATGGAAGGTGAGAGCCAAAACGGGTAGGTGTTTCAGGCGTGCTGCCACAGCTTTTGTCAAATGGTTTCTTGCGATGGCTTGGCGGCACGCTGGCAAAGGTGGTGACCACACACAGTGCGGCGTTTTTGATCAAACTAGGGTCCCTTTTCTGGTATTCAGAGGGCCGCTGTTCAAGGAAAATATTAACCATGGATTTTGTGGTTTCCGCATGCTGCCCCTATATCATGCAAAAGGCGTTCTTGAAAAAGCTTGGCACACCCTGAACGACCTCCTTGTAGATTAACTAGAAGCTTGGAATGTTCGATATGGCAAAAGAGAAAAGTTTCGAATGCTATGAGATCACAGGTGATGAAGCATGTGTAGGCAAGAAGCAACAGGCGAAGAGCCGAATCGGGCGTCACAAATGGACCTGGATGAGTTCAAGTAGCAGCCGCGTAAACGCGCCCCGGTAGCACAGGATCAGTCACATCGTAAGGGATGGCGGAACGTGTTAGACAAAACGAATCCCAGGTCTTCATCCAGTTTCATTGACTTTCAGTGCTAGGGTAGAAAATTGACGTGTTCTAACGTGTTGACTTCCCTTCCAAGATTTGTGACATCTGCGCTACCGTGAAAATTGTTTGGTGCTGACCGTAACCGTAACGTATCAGGAACGTCCACAAAATCGTGCTAGAGGGATTCCTATCTAGTGATCTGGATATGCAAAAGACCGTTTTGAAAGAGCATGGCACACCGTGAACGACCTCCCTTGTAAGACTAACCATAAGCCTTGGAAGAGAGGTGTGGGACTCCGGGGTAGGTGAGGTAAAAGCTCGAATGTGTGAGATCCAGCGGTGATGAGCTGTGCAGACAAGAGAGCATAGGCAAGAGCATCGTCGTATAAGGGTCGCGTTCCAAAGGGCTGAAGTTCAAGTATCGTAAACTGCGTATCGGTTAGCACAGCATTCAGTTCAAACCACTTTTTAGGATTGGGAACGTGGGGTAGACGAAAACGTCTTCACAGTCAAGACTAATATACGTGTTAGGCAAGGATGTTCGGGTAGTGTTAAGACTTTCCTTCCAGTTTGACAATCTTGCGCGCATACGTGAAAATTGGAAGTGCTGAATTCCTTCTAGCCGTAACGTACACAGGACACGTCAACAAGAAAATCGTGTAAGCGGAGTTTCCTAAATTCTAGTGATCTGGGATAATGAGTTTGGGGGCTTCAAGTAAAACATTTCAGAAGACTTCGCTTGAGTGATGAGAGAAACCTTCGGTCTAGAAGGGAGTCTAGTTCTTTCTTCCTGTTTTTCAAGATGCAATATCCACAGCCGATTTCATGGTCCACTTCAGGACTCCACCGTACTCGTGATAATGAAGGGGTTAGCAAAGCAAAAGCATGACTGAAATTCATTTTATACATATAAACAAGGGTACATGACACTTGAAAACAACAACATAAAATATAACAACATGTTACAGAACTATATGGCACAGGAAAACCAATGTCCGACACAATCCTGAGATTTCAGATTCAGCACGAATCAATAGCTTGGGATGTATTTCTAATGTTAAGACTAGATCCAAACGTTGAAAGCTCTTCATAACCTGAAAAACAGAGGTGCTTCATTGAAGGCTCGTGAAGTTCAGAATTCGGGGAACAAAAGCGCCTCATCGGCTGTCACTCACTTCCAAAGCTCTTTCCTTGCATCGAGAAAGCTCTCGCGTATTTTTCATAAAGTTCATTTTCTGAAATCAAAATTCACATAAATTTGCGATTTTTAATGCAAGTAGTGATTAAACCTCCAGGCCGGGTTTGAGAAACAAGCGAGATCGGTAATTCGCGGAGTAGGGGGGAAAGGACGGGAAAAGCAAAGTCCCTTTTTTGCACTTTTCACTTTCAACACCGAATTACCACAATACACTGAGATCTATTGATATTTACACCTGAAAATTAGGCAGCGCACCCAACTACCGCCTCCCTTCATAGTAGCCATCTCCATGGGAAATATCGAAAGGCGAAGACAATGGGATGTCTGATCTCAGCAATATGCTCGATTTTTTTTTATCTTCACACCAAACTTTCTGGACTCTGCCCACACTCATGGAGGGACTACGAAGACAGGACAATCGAGAGTACGGTGTCTTTGTTGATCCATTCAGGTGTGGTGCCACACCATTACGACTGACAGCCTGAACGGCGAAATGCCTTCATTGAGTGCTAATGTGCCGGTAAACCTTCATCTCAGACCAGCTTCCATAAACACGAGAACGCCATTTCTGCACCAAAGAGCTTCTGCCCACATCAATTGTAGTCCACGGCAGCTGGTCGATCTTCGAGATAACAGTGCACTGCGATTATGAACCGTAGCAACATTGCTCAAATTGCAGACTGAAGATCCCACATAAAGGCAAGTTCCGGGATTAGGCACGCTCACCTCATTCATACACGAGTGTGGTAGACTAGGAGACAAGCGCGATTGTTGCGGCCTGAAAGTGCGGACAAAGGCGCTA